AAAGGCCAGGATAGACACCGTGAAGGAATAGAGAGAAATGGTGAACATGACAGAAGTCGAGACAGGAGAAAAGAGAAAACTGGTGAAGACAGAGACAGAGAACGAAGAAGAGATAAGGAAGGGGAAAAGAGAAGAGAAGCAGACAGACATGAAAGAAGTAGAGATGGAGATACCAGCAGGGAGAGGAGAAAAGAGAGGGAACGTGAGGACAGGGATAGGGAAAGAGAAAAGACCAGGGACAGGGAAAGAGACAAGGGACGAGAACGACGGAAAGAAAAAGACAGAGACAGATTGTATAAAGAAAATAAAGATTCTGACAAAGATGAAATAATGAGAAGTGATAGACATGACAAGGATTCAGATAGAAGGAAGGAGCGCTCAAAAAATGAAGTAAGTGAGTGTACCACCCTACATGTATGGTATCAGTTGACCTGGTCACTTGGTGGTAACTATCTTGACCCAGGTATGCTAATGGCAACTGGTAAACTGTTGTGTACAAACTTGGAAGAAAGGTANAAGACGTCCTGTGGATGTTGAAAGATCAAAAGAAAGGGACAGAAGTAGAGATGGACGAAAAGAAAAGGAAGGGGGAGATAAAGATCACGATAGAGACAGGAGAAGAGAAAGAGAAGATGAAAACGTTAAAGGCCGGGATAGACACCGTGAAGGAATAGAGAGAAATGGTGAACATGACAGAAGTCGAGACAGGAGAAAAGAGAAAACTGGTGAAGACAGAGACAGAGAAAGAAGAAGAGATAAGGAAGGGGAAAAGAGAAGAGAAGCAGACAGACATGAAAGAACTAGAGATGGAGATACCAGCAGGGAGAGGGGAAAAGAGAGGGAACGTGAGGACAGGGATAGGGAAAGAGAAAAGACCAAGGACAGGGAAAGAGACAAGGACCGAGAACGATGGAAAGAAAAAGACAGAGACAGATTGGATAAAGAAAGTAAAGATTCTGACAAAGATGAAAGAACGAGAAGTGATAGACACGACAAGGATTCAGATAGAAGGAAGGAGCGCTCAAAAAATGAAGTAAGTAAGTGTACAGCTATACATGTGCACTTGTATAGCTTCTGTTCACCTAGTGACTTTGTGGTAACTATCTTGACCCAGGTATGCTAATGGAAACTGGTAAACTGTTGTGTACAAACTTGGAAGAAAGGTATCAGTTAAAGTGCCAAGGAAATAAAAGATATTTTGTAAAAAGTTCATTTGTCACATAATGTCTTGTTTCATTATTTCTTAGGAAGGCTCAAGAGAAAGAAGTCACGATAGCAGAAAGGATGATAGAAGGTAGATTCCAAATAAACATGCATTGTTTAAAAAGAACTTCCCTATGATCTTTGGGGATTTTTAAGGATTTTGCAATGATCTTTAAATGATTGTCTTTAAAAATTTTCCAATAATTATTTTAGGATTTCTGAAAGATCCTTAAAATTAATGTACAAGATGTATCTATTCTTTTAGCTAGACATTATAAGGTCTCTTAACTTAGATCTCCAATACATGTAGGTTTTTCACCAGGGTAGTCTCTCAACTGAAGAGTTCATGTACATAGATTTTGATTAATATGGGAAGTTTTAGGGAGAACTGGCCATGATGTTGCAACTGACTTGTAATGGACTAGAATTCCCATTCCACTGCGTCTTTGTGCTTAGAACAAATTGTACGTGTACATTTATTTCATACTAGAAAAATTCCTGTACATATGTACATGGAAACACTACCCTGCTGTTCTTATACAGCGATTATTGCACATGTAAGTTTCAGACAGACATAACCCTTTTGCGTAGTTCTGTTGAAGTTAATTGTGTGTATGGCTTTTNAGGAAATAAAAGATATTTTGTAAAAAGTTCATTTGTCACATAATTTCTTGTTTCATTATTTCATAGGAAGGCTCAAGAGAAAGAAGTCACGATAGCAGAAAGGATGATAGAAGGTAGATTACAAATAAGCATACATTGTTTAAAAAGAACTTCCCTACGATCTTTGTGGAATTTTAAGGATTTTGCAATGATCTTTAAATGATTTTCTTTAAGAATTTTCCAATAATTATTTTAGGATCTCTGAAAGATCCTTAAAGTTAATGTATCTATTCTTTAACTAAGCTAGACATTATAAGGTCTTTAAAGATCTCCAATACATGTAATTTTTCACCAGGGTAGTCTCTCAACTGAAGAGTACATGTACACAGATTTTGATTAATTTTGGAAGTTTTAGGGAGAACTGGCCATGACATTGCAAGTGACTTGTAATGGACTAGAATTCCCATTCCACTGAGTCCTTGTGCTTAGAACAAATTGTACGTGTACATTTATTTCATACTAGAAAAATTCCTGTACATATGTACATGGAAACACTACCCTGGTGTTCTTATACAGCAATAATTGTAAGTTTCAGACAGACATAACCCTTTTGCTTAGTCCTGTTGAAGTTAATTGTGTGTATGGCTTTTTATTAACATCATTTAATGTTTTGTCTTGCAGAGAAAGAAAGGAGGATAGAGACAGACATAAGGGAAAAAGTGAAGTAAGTGCTCTTACAGGACTTATAAAAGGAAGAATTAAGAAAAACGTTTTTAGTGTATGCATGTACAATTGAACCCCACTATTACGAACCCTCAGGGGAAACAAAAAATAGTTCAAAATGGTGGGAATTTGAAATGACCAGCAGTAAATGACTGAAGAGCAAATCCAAGAGAAATGATGGGTAATTGGAAATAACTGAGTTTGAATTGGTGGGGTAGAACTGAATATATTCATGGTAAATGTTTAGTCACTCTACATTTAGAGCACCATTCCCTTTGTGATTGGAGGCCCTCTAGCTACATGTAGATTAACGAAAAAAGTATAAACTGAATTACCCAGTATCAGAAAATATGCATGGCTTTTTATTATTTGCAGTCTCTAGATAATTTTCGTTATGCATCTTTCCTCAGGAATCTAGTGAGAAAGATGAAAAAGTAAAGAGAAGAGAGAAGGAACTGATGGAGTCTCTTAAAAAGGAAGAGGTACTGTAATAAAAAAAAACTCTCGTATCTTAACCATCATGATACAAGCTTTTTGTATTTTTACAGACATTGTAGAGCGGAATGTAACATGTACATGGATGAGTGATGATTGTTTATTGTGGTACTGTTGGCGTGGGACAGTCAGTTGTCAACATGCTCAGACATTATTTTATGTCTACATTCAGTGAGCTGTAATTCTGGTAGTTAACATCCAAGACAGTTTAAAAACATCTTCTCTTTCTTTCTTTTTTCATTACCATTGACAGGAATTAAAGAAGAATCCACTGAGATTTAGATCAGATACAGTGGAAGAGGCANGTCACCATAGTTGAAGGTGAATTGTCAAGGCAAAGTGATAAGAAAGGAACCTGCACTGAGGGAGAGTAGATAATGTGTTGAAACTGAAGTGAAGTGTGCCACTCCTTTGGTCCCTGACATGAAACAGTCAGCTTCACTGCCCCATTAAAGACAGTTCTCGTTTTATTCGGCTAGAAAAAGTAAGACTTACCACTGCCAGCCATGGAAGGATCAACTTTGTTGCTGCAAAGCAGAAACAGATCACTGATAAAGTTGCCTCACGGACACGAAGGAGAGGGCAGGTAACTACATTTTTGGAAATAATCATTATGTAATGCATTCTTTCATCTGTGTATCGAGTTTTTTAAAAAGGATAGAATTGCCTACAGTGGAGTAGACTTTCTAAAAGTCCTTTCCAATAATTCATCCCTGGCCTGTTGGTTTCAAGATTACCCTCTTGGGAGATGAATAAGCGGAAGATTAAGTGAAGATAGACTTGTGGCAAGTCTAACAGTGGAGTTGAAGGCGTTAAATATACATGCTTCACGAAAACTCATCATGTCTTGTAACCTACAAAGTCTTTGTTGTTGCATTCCTTGCAAAAAGAAGAACCATGCAAACTATGCTTTTGTACCAAGCCCTGGTACTGCCGTTTGCAAGCAAAGCTTATGCGTGTAAACCCGAGGGGGGGGGGGGGGGGGGGGGGNAATTTTGAAAAGAACCCTAAGAGGTATCAAGATCCTGTTTTGTGGGTGTGGCTTGAATTTTTTTTCACCACTAAGAGGCACCAATTTTAAATCGACATGTTATCTTCTGTCATATGTTTTTCGGCTCAATACCCTAAAAGGTATTGCAAAAGCTCCTGCTCTGGACCTTTTGTTGCTGAACACCCTAATAATAACCAAAACCCTTTTTTAACCCCTAAAAGGTACGTTGAGTACCTCCGTCCTTTTTAAAGTTTGGAAAAAGAAATAGGTCCAAAGTATATAAGGGATATCAACAACTTTGCTATAAAAACATAAGTGTCAAATGTTCTTGGTTTGTGAAGGTAAAATATTAGCTCTCAAACTTGAAATGTTGACCTTGTTTGCTTTTAGGAACTGATGCACTTGATAGACCTTGATGTTGCTGCGTTTGATATTTTTGATTTGCCGCCACTCAATGAGTATGAGCTGTACATAAAAAACTTTGGAAGGTCTGACACTAGACAGGTAATACGCAGCTTTCGTTTTAAAGAAGTTGTCATATTTCAATGTCAATAGCGGACTTAGGCAATAAATATAAAAGACAATTGGTGTTGATTAAAAGCAGGAGTTAGNTATAAAAACATAAGTGTCAAATGTACTTGGTTTGTGAAGGTAAAATATTAGCTCTCAAACTTGAAATGTTGACCTTGTTTGCTTTTAGGAACTGATGCACTTGATAGACCTTGATGTTGCAGCGTTCGATATTTTTGATTTGCCGCCACTCAATGAGTATGAGCTGTACATAAAAAACTTTGGAAGGTCTGACGCTAAACAGGTAATACGCAGCTTTCGTTTTACAGAAGTTGTCATTCTTCAATGTCAATAGCGGACTTAGGCAATAAATATAAAAGACAATTGGTGTTGATTAAAAGTAGGAGTTAGTGGGGAGAAGTTAATGCATTTTTTATAGACTGTTAACTGCTGTGTTGTGTAGGAATATGTCCAATGTAATGAAGATAATCTGGAAAAAGAGATACAAACAGAGGAAATTGAGACAAGAACGAAATGGACACAAAATCCTGCAAGTGATGCTGCTGGTTTTGGAGGTGAGCTCTCCTGACATGTAGTTAGTTTTACCATTTTGTAGTAAGGACCTATATCCATTGCCTGAAGAAGGACCAGTTGACCAGAGACTTTGTTTGCTCATAAAAGAGTCACGTTACTTCAAGTTACTTCAGTGTTACTTCCAGGAGTCCGTTTGTAGGTTTGATTGATCATAGAGTGTCAATCAAGTTGTTTTTGTTTCGACTGGCTTTGTATGTAGTTGTAACAATCGTTCATGCACTTTCTAAAGTAGTGAACTTTTCTGCAATTGGCGTCTAAGAGTAGTTATTGACATTTATTCAAACAGCTAATAGCATTGAAACATGGAATAGTATCTAGAATGAACTCTTCTTGCCAGAGATATTGGTTGTAAATCTAAAATGACAATGGTCTTATTCAATTCACGGGGAACAATTATGTTACCGAAAGATTTAACCCGCTCATTGACTTGCACTGTTATGATACGATGCTACTTTGCATTTCAGACGATGAAGATGATTTGCAGGAGGATTTATCCAGTTTAACAGAAAAAGCAAATATCGATAGCTTACGATTGTCAAAATTCCTTCAGCGGGCTACACAGGTGAGTTGAGCTATTGTCCTGCTGCCTTAAAGCAGCGTGTGGTCAGTATAGAGAGAAAAACACTCAGGCTGATTCTTAGAAGCAAGAAAATGTATTACATGTTCAGGTCTGCAAACTATAAACCCCATACAGTACAGTACTTGTGTGAGTTACTAAGGCTTAAAATCAAATGACACGAGTCATTAGTGATCAGCAACGTTTTACAAATTGTTTCCTCCGTACGAGGAACGTCACTGCAGCGAGCGGTCTGGGACGTCAGCTTTAGCTGGCCTTTTTAGAGAGATAGTCATTGTGTGATTTCTAAGCTCAGCTCAAGTTAGCAGAATGGCATAAATCAAGACAACTCAACACAAAAAGTTGAAAAAAAAAAAAANAATGTAATGAAGATAATCTGGAAAAAGAGATACAAACAGAGGAAATTGAGACAAGAACGAAATGGACACAAAATCCTGCAAGTGATGCTGCTGGTTTTGGAGGTGAGCTCTCCTGACATGCACTTAGTTTTACCATTTTGTAGTAAGGACCTATATCCACTGCCTTGAGAAGGACCAGTTGACCAGAGACTGTGTCTGTTTGTTTGCTCATAAAAGAGTCACGGTACTTCAAGTTACTTCAGTGTTACTTCCAGGAGTCCGTTTTGTAGGTTTGATTTATCATAGAGTGTCAATTAAGTTGTTTTTGTTTCGACTGGCTTTGCATGTAGTTGTAACACTTGTTCATGCACTTTCTAAAGTAGTGAACTTTTCTGCAATTGGCGTATAAGAGTAGTTATTGACAATTATTCAAACAGCTAATAGCATTGAAACATGGAATAGTAGCTAGAATGAACTCTTCTTGCCAGAGATAGTGGTTGTAAACCTAAAATGACAATGGTCTTATTCAATTCACGGGGAACAATTATGTTACCGAAAGATTTAACCCGCTCATTGACTTGCACTGTTATGATACGATGCTACTTTGCATTTCAGACGATGAAGATGATTTGCAGGAGGATTTATCCAGTTTAACAGAAAAAGCAAATATCGATAGCTTACGATTGTCAAAATTCCTTCAGCGGGCTACACAGGTGAGTTGAGCTATTGTCCTGCTGCCTTAAAGCAGCGTGTGGTCAGTATAGAGAGAAAAACACTCAGGCTGATTCTTAGAAGCAAGAAAATGTATTACATGTTCAGGTCTGCAAACTATAAACCCCATACAGTACAGTACTTGTGTGAGTTACTAAGGCTTAAAATCAAATGACACGAGTCATTAGTGATCAGCAACGTTTTACAAATTGTTTCCTCCGTACGAGGAACGTCACTGCAGCGAGCGGTCTGGGACGTCAGCTTTAGCTGGCCTTTTTAGAGAGATAGTCATTGTGTGATTTCTAAGCTCAGCTCAAGTTAGCAGAATGGCATAAATCAAGACAACTCAACACAAAAAGTTGAAAAAAAAAAAAAAAAACGTAGAAAAGCAATAGAAATCTCTGCAGCTCACCACCAGCAACGTAAGAATTTAATCGTAATGACCATAGTACATGTAGTCTGTCAGCACACCGCGCTTGTGACATACATGTAGCTGCTGCATGGTGCAATCATCTCTAAACTGACGAGTAACTAAAGAGTTTGTACCAACCATGAGAAGAACAAGTCAAAAACTGAAACATTTGAGCACACGAAGTTGAATACTGGTCAAAAAGTGTTAATTTTGGGAGTATGGTTTACTTCAAACGCATGGCTACCAACATTTTATGTAGTATGTCAAACACGAAAGACCGTGTTTGACCACATTTTCAAACACCGAGAAGAGAGTTGAAAATACGGCGCGAAACGGAGTGTTTTTAAAGAACGTGGCGGTGTTTGGAAATGTGGTCAAACGCTGTCTCGAGTGCTTGATATGTCTTCTCAGTCGGGACTAAAACTTAGGAGATCTAGAAAATGGTGAAAAAAATCGTAAAAATCTATCCTAATTAAGATCAGGTATCCAGACACCATCACGGTCATGATTTCTTTTGTTTAGACTTGAGAAATTATTAATGAGTTTGAGAAGGTCAGATATTAGAGGCTGCTACCACCTCCTCAATAGCCATTTAAGTTTGTAGAAGGTTTGCCGTGACACTGATTTTGTCTTGCAGTTCTTTTGGATTTATTAATGGTTCGTAATAGGCCATTTCCAAGTTACCTTGTGCCTCTGCTTCAAAACGAGTTTACGTGCAAAACCTTTCATATGAAAACGAGTTTGATTTGCATGAAAATGAACTTGAAGGCGGAACACATCTTCATATGGTTTCGCATGAAGACTCGTTTTGATACAGGAAATGACCTATTGGTTGGTTGTTGCTCCTCTCTTAGGGTTTGTTTTGACCTGATATGTTTGAAACTTTGCCTATATAAACATTTATACGAATTCTATTTTTATGTTCATAAGCATTGCTACTGGTAATAAGATTGACATTCTGTCTATTTTTGCAGACGTGTTTAATCCTTCTGGAGGAGAACATCAGTGAACAGGCCAACACTCAGTTTAAAGACAGGAATGATATGACCTGTAGTGATGGATTTATTCAACTATCAACTAAACAACCCTATCTTGAAGGTATGATACTCGCTGTCAACATCATACATCCTGTTACATGTACAATACAATGTACCAGTGCGTGTTACATGTATATTGTTTGTGAATATGTGGACGTTTTACAGTGTGACGAATCCAACCAAGACCCTCTGACAAAATTCCGTGCAAATTTAACGATTGAAAACCTTAGACGTAAACTGTAGATTTCCGAAAACCTATCCGTCTAACAAAGCTTGATACATTAAATCTCTGTTGTTCAATGTACCAATAATTTGCCAGGCTTACTGTGTTACACTCTTTAATTGGCGTAAAGCATCCGCACCACCTACTCCTCAACCAATCACGTAGAAACTAAAACTAATGATTACGCCTTGTTCGCATTTGTTCTCACGCGCCTGCGCCTGTTACGTGTATATAGTTGCTTCAAGTTTTCATTTTCTTTACACATAAGACACATTTTTTGAACAAGACTTAATTTTTAAAAAGAGCTCGATAAACATGATTCTTAAAAAAATCCCAGTTTATGGAAGGTTAAGCAGTTGGCTTACAATGCGCGGCCGAGGAGTTGAACTCGGGACTACCGAGAAACAATTCCGACTATGGCCTCCAGATTTCAAATCCAGCACCTTAGTGTACCCGGTCCTGCCTCCGCCATTCTACTGCAACTACATTTAACATTTAACTTGTACTTTATCCAATGTCAAAGGGCTTAATTTGTGTATCTGTGGTATTCGCCGTTATGAGAAAGTTCCATACAATGACCTCTGTGCTTTGCGTACTTATTTCCTTACTTGTGCCTTGTGTTTCTTGTTTCCAAGAACATAAAATATCTTGTAATATACACTGCTTAATCCCGGTTTCATTAGCTCACTTGGAAACTTTTTATACACCGTTTATAAGCTCTCCTGGTATAATCCTCCCGGGTTATAGGTCCACCTACAGCTGTAAAACCCCTTAGGATTGTGTATGAATCGAGGGATTGCAATCGTAGTTGTACGGTATTTTGTCAAGTGCATGAACAACTGGTAAACATACAGGAGTCGATGATAAAACTTCTTGAAAATTAAATTCAAACCTACTCACTTGTTTTTATCTTAATTCAAGTACTTCTGACATCATTTGGTGATAAATTGCAGTTGTATTGGCAGTTTTCTTACCGTTGTAAGAAAAGCTCGGCATGGTAAATGAGCATACCATGGCATGTCGCGCTTGTAATAATATTTTTTATGCTTACTGTATTTCAGGGCGACCAGTGATATGTGTTCATATATCTCCAGTCCAGACATACTTCTTACTTGTTGCTTACGGTCCTGTAAAGGAACAGGGCAAGGTTACTTCAAAGGTGAGGCTCGCAGTCTAGCTTGGCCAGTGTGGTGAATAATTTCAAACAGTTGATTGTTACTTCTGCCAAATCTCAACTTTCATTTCCCAAAATTAAGAAAAAAAAAAACAAAAAACAAAAAACATTAAGTGCCTCTTGAAATTAGTACTAGCCGGGCCACTAGGGAATGGTAGGAACCATTTTGATTGACAGTTTGACTACGGAAACAATGCCGTAAATACCACAGGAAAGTAACAAAGGTTTATACATGTATTTCATTATATAAATAAAAAGCAAGGAAAAATAACAAACATACAAGCTGAATCACGAGCGAGTAAAAACTGACATTCTCATAGGAAGACAGGTAGACGGACGAACAAGTGTACAAAATATCTTGTTGGTTTTTGTTGGTGATTGCTTGTTTTCCTCTTATGTAGATTGACAGTAATATCCAGGATAAAGGTCTTGTATGCTTCTGGAACACTAATGAGCCCTCTGGACCGCAAAAGTAAGTGTTATTTTTAGTTTTAACTGCGAGAACAAAAAATAAGGTCTCTGAGAATTGATTGACCACGCAGTGTTCTTAAGGAGGGTTGCTTAGTAATATGACTGATTTTCATGACACCGAGCTGACGTCACAACTTTGGGAGTGCTATTGTTATGTCTGATTGGACAAAAAAAAAATTTTGGAACACTTGTACTTGTACCGATTTACCTAAAACAGCTCATGTTGATTGTTTCCTCTGAAAAATCTCAGTTCTTACTGAAACATTTCAAGACAGGTATTATGTTTATTTGTGGCATGCCTGAAAACTAGCTAGTTGTAGCTAAGTGCATCGACCACTATGAACATTCAACATTCAACATTTAACAGTTATAGTTCCAGATGCGTGAAAAGTTTTATGTGGGGAACATTGTTTGAACGAATTATGCGCTTCTATATTCTCTCCCCATTTTAATTTCGGACAGTAGTTTTAGGAAAAAAGAGCATCGGACCACGCGGCAGACTGTTGATTACCAGTCACTGTTTGGGAAAATGAACTCAAGCCAAAGCGATAACTGGCTGGATTGGACACCAGAGAGTTTCGTTACCAGTTAATTAAAACAATAACCAAACTGAGCATAAAGGATGAAAAGGTCATTATTTTGATGTACAGTGAACTCTCTCTAAGACAGACGCTGTCGAGAAAGGCCCACACTGTCCGTCTTAGAGAGGACGCCGACTTATAAAGAGTCGAAGTTACCTGACACCAGTAATTTTGACATACACTGTAATAAAGCTGAACCTATGCAAAATGAATCCACGCCTGTTTTAAGTCTGTTTTAAGTTCAGCTCGAATGTAAATTTGTAAGTTAAATGTAAACTTTATCATTTTTTTGTAAACTGTTGTGATAATATTGTAATAAGAAATGTTTGAAGGTCAGTAAGGAGAATTGGTAGGTCTGAAACAGAGCCTAAAGGGATGGCCGCTGAAACTGAACTGACTGTAGTTTTAGTGTATATGACTCAGAGAGTTTAAGTAACGTGTTATCCTATCCCTTATGTATTATCCCATGCAAGATGAAAATCAAAATCCTCCGCATTCACTTTGAGACTGTGTTGAACTTGTGCAAGTTGAATTGGTTTTAAGTCAATGCTGAGATGATAGGTCCTTCATTCTCATGACCTAGCAGTTTGTATTTGCAATTATACAATAAGGAGAAGTCATTTAGTAACAGACCTCTGCTGGTGATAACGCTAATTGAACGGTTTTTCCCAGAATTTTAATCTGCGAATCTTCACCAAGGTGCTGTTGTTTGAGTCCTTCGAAGGCAACTTTAGCATTTGCTGGCTTGGTAGGTTTTACTGCTGTTATGTAGTTGTATCATTCGAGCGAATGTTACATAGCCTGTCACAAAGAACGAGATGGAGGGATTTAATTGAACGTTTTGAGTGTTTTCACATGAGGGTACGGCAGCAATGTTGGTGTCCCAAAACAGCGAAACGGCGGCCATGTTGATGCATGTCCCGAACCAGTCCTGAGGGAGTTGGACTCTTTTCTTGTGTAAACACTTTCTTCTGTTCCAATAAATTTGCATGGCTGCTGGCCACGCGAGTGAAAACGCTCTTAAGGAGTTAGAAACAAATAGAGAGATTACAAATCTGTCTTTCTATTGATATCATTTCATTCCTCACTTCTCTTCTTTTGACTCGTTCATGGTATAGAGCGTATGCACTCACGTGCTCACGTGTTCAGCAGCCATGCAAATGTTTTGGAACAAAAGAAAGTGTTTACATAAGAAAAGAGTTGAACTCCCACAGGATTGGTTTGGTACACCAATAAGGCTGCCATGACCTCATTTTTGATATTTGGACTCTGTTTTACACCTTTTGATACAAACCCAAAAGAAGACCAACCTGACACTTAATGGGCCTTATTTATAGGCCTGTCTATTTGATCTTCAGCTAGAAACGAAATTGAGGGAAATAATGGAATAAAAAGTCACGGAATACCAACACAGTGGAAAAAGATAAAATGCAGTTTGCAAGTGGACTATTTTGTAATAATGTGAATTTGTACACTGTACGTCTTTGTGACTTTAAGTCATACAGTACCACACATTTAGTTTACTTGGGGGTTAAAGTTGAGTAGAAGGCAAAGATAGTGTTGAGTATTAACATTTCTATGGATCTTACAGGAAGACGGATCACTGGTAGCGTGGGACTTGAGAGAGTCTTCGATGATGCCTAGCTTTTCCAGAGTCTCTTTTGGAGACAGTGAAATAATCTTGAGGCCGCCTACTTTCAGCACAGGTGTGTTGACTGTTAGGCATTGTGCCTTTGGGAGTATGCTTGTTTCATGATTATGAATTACCGAGAATGTGTAGAAAGCTGTCTGTTGTGAATGTCATGTTGTTCTATGTTCGTAACCCGTTGAACTGAGCCCGTTCTTAATGCCAGGCGAAGGACCTTTCATCCTGTCCTCTTTGCTCCTTGCCTCTCGGAATCGTCTGCCTGAAAAACAACGTTTTGACTTGAAATTGAAACGTTAGCGAAATAATTTGTGTTTCACAAGATGGGAGAAAGCTGGCTGAGGTACCGTGCATGTACTTATTGTTAGCCATTGATTATTAATGTGGAATTCGCTAAGCACGAATAGGCACCCTTGCACTTTGGCTTCAGTACTAAGGGATGATGTTCACTTCAGTTATCTTTCTTTTCAGCTGGGGTGTTGAAAAAAGACGAGAGCCATCTCAGTCCAGTTGTGTCCCTATTGCCAATTGTTATGCCAGGAGACAGGTCAGTGATGTGTACATGAAGAATATCCTTCATGTATTGCGGATCGAAGCTTAAGTCGATGACAAATGCTTGTAAAATGACCATATCTTTTCTCCATTGTATTGATGACGAATAATATGGTAATTAAGCTCTAACTCTCTATTAAAAACACAAGCCAAATGCCGAAAAAACAATAAGGTTTCGTTGTTCATTAAATACGTCATTCAAGCAGCGAATGTAGACACGTAAAAACGTCAGACTGATCTTGAAAAGTGTCTCTTGTCTCTTAAATTTTTGTTGCAGTGGAACTCTGTTAACGCGACAGAAATAATAATAACAAAGAAACCTCCACCTTGAAGGCTTTAAGTGATCAATGGATAATAGGTTTTTTGTAATTTTAATAAAACATCGGAGAGTGTGTGGAAAATATTAAACCAAGAGATATATTATCTTGATAAACCATCAAATTCACAGAAATAACTTTGATGATAATGAATATAATTTTTACCTTAAAACCTCTTCGTGCCGCAGACATATGTTGCAAGAAATTTCAGCAGCTACGAGGTAAAGAATAAAATGTTCATTTAACTAATTAACAATTGTAGGGATAAATTAACAAGACGACAACCAAAAAAAACAGCGATGATAGCTAAACAGTAAGAAATCGAAATAACTTGAATATAAAAAGTACAATTAAAAGATCTCCATAGTTATCGAAGGTGGCAGTGATGTAATGTGTTATAAAATTGACATAACAACCTGAAACCGTTATGGGATTGCAATCGAAATAAAATTTTCCTCTCCCTCCTGTAAAACATATCGATACATACTAACAAGACTGAAGACAGCTGCGACTCAGTCCTAGTTGTTTAGTCATTTTTAGCTTTGACTTGTTCATAACTATCCATAATACGTATGAAATTATGTTATGTTTCGTGAATGCGATT